GCTAGTCATCACCACACACCGCCAACACTTGGGCTACTCTTTTAACAACAAATAGTGGGATTGACCGTCACATTATAACGCCCCCACGGCTGAAAGGGCGAGCATGTTTGGTGGGACGGGGATTCGAACCCGCGACCCTCAGATTGCGAGTCGAGCGCCCTGGCCATGCCGGGCGATAGGTTATTATGTAGCTTTGTACTTAACTACAAACAAACATACTTACAACTCCAAAAAACGGGTTTCGATACCCGTGGTGAGCACAACACACATAGCCCATTGTGTAGCTTTGCGCTTATTAACAAACAAATTAGTCATCATAGAAATATGTCTCTTTATAACACGAATCAAATTTTGAATATTATATTTCCTGCTTTTTTTTCAACGTAGCAGGAATACACTCAGAGTTATTTAAAACTGTTATTGATCAAACAGTTCTAAGAATTCGGACTTTCATCTGGAACGTCGATCCATACTTTTAACAGCTGATACTCACAACAGCACGGCATACGTGCTATTTTTAATAACAAATCAGAGGTCAAAGTAAGACGTTTTAATTAACTATATATTCACGTTTTCTGTTCAGTGTCATTATTTGTAATATCAGCTTTAAACCTAATGATTAAAAGTAAACCTAATACACATGTTGTTGTTGAGTGAAAAGCTACAAAATGGGCTATCTGTGCTCTGCCTATTGCATGTATCGAAACCCGATTTTTTGCGCTTAGTCACCTAGGGAGGGTGTAAATAAATAGATGAATTATTTACTCGTGGCTAGTGTTCCAAATAACCTGAGAATACCAATCAACAACCTGGTTAGTTACTTCTAGTGACCTAAAATACATACTCAGTGAATATATGATACTGAATACTCAACGTGCCATAATATGTGCCGTAATATCCTAGTTACACGGATTCTAGTCTATGTGCTGTAATATCCTAGTTACCGGGATTCTAGTCTACGTGCTGTAATATCTTAGTTACCGGGATTCTAGTCTACGTGCCATAAGATCCTAGTTACCCGGATTCTAGTCTACGTGCTGTAATATCCTAATTACCCGGATTCTAGTCTACGTGCCATAAGATACTATTTACCCGGGTTCTAGTCTACGTACCGTAAAATCGTAATCACCCGGAATGTGGTGTACGTGCTATAAGATGGTGGTTACGCAGATCCTAGAATACGTGTCTAAGATCGTGGTTACCATGTATTATAGTGTTACACATTATAATTAGAGCAGCACATGAAGCATAACTTGACAAATAAACTAGACAAATACTCCTTTACATCGAGATTTATTTCATTACTCAATCACAAGGAACAAAAAAATCATAAGGCAATTAAAATATCACCTTTTTTTACAAGACACGACAACTTAAAAAATCTTAAAAATACATTCGTAATTTATTAATTTTTTTATATAATGTCTTCTAGTCATATGACTCGTGTGTGTCGACTTCACTTGGATACGACTCGTGTGTGTCAACTTCACTTGGATAAGACTCGTGTGTCAACTTCACTTGGATATGACTCGTGTGTGTTAACTTCACTTGGATATGACTCGTGTGTGTCGACTTCACTTGGATATGACTTGTGTGTCGACTTCACTTGCATATGACTTGTGTGTCGACTTCACTTGCATATGACTTGTGTTTGTTAACTTTACTTGGATATGACTCGTGCTTGTTAACTTTACTTGGATATGACTCGTGCGTGTCAACCTCACTTGGATATGAATTGTGTGTAGACTTCACTTGCATATGACTCGTGTGTCAACTTCACTTGGATACGACTCGTGTGTGTTAACTTCACTTGGATACGACTCGTGTGTGTCAACTTCACTTGGATATGACTCGTGTGTGTCAACTTCACTTGGATATGACTCGTGTGTGTCAACTTCACTTGGATATGACTCGTGTGTGTCAACTTCACTTGGATATGACTTGTGTGTCGACTTCATTGCTAGGAATAGCATAAAGAGTGCCAATCTATGTTGGTTCATTTGAGATATTCACACAAAGTAATACAAGAGATAACTACTCTATCCATCCCTAATTTCAAGCTGATAGACTAGAGAGAAGGCAGCTAGTGAAAAGCACCTACAGCCATCCCTTGGCTACTCTAACCAAACGGTTAAATGTGACTGTCACTCTTATGATGCACCTACAGTTTTTTCATATGAGCAGGACACCAACCATGGATCCTGTGATCTACAGTCGAGCACATTATAACCACGTTCAGTACCAATTTACTCAATTGTAAAGTACTTTACAATTTCCAGGATAATACGGTATTTAACCCACTTATATTTTTCATTTCTTCTCTTTTTACATGGCGTTTACTACAAACTTTTTAAAAAAATATTGTTTAAAGTAACAAGTTGAGAACATTATGGCTTAACTACTTTTCACACACATATTTATGTATACAAACAAATGTCGTAAACACTTGAAAATGTAAGACATTGTAGAAACAAGAAGGTAAATTTACTTTAGATGAAAGTGATTTTATTACTTTTAAGAACAAAAGAAAACAGCTTTTATGTTCTTGAGCTGAATTCAGGTTGTTGGCACTTATGGTTATACAGCAACTGGAAACGACCGTGGCAACATCAAACGTTCACTGAGCATATCAGTATTTGTATTTATAATAAGGCCCTCTGCCACCATTCCTCATTTTGAACTACTGATCAGAGAGAAGATAGCCAATCAGCCAATAAGGGATTGACTGTAACTCTCATAATGCAGGGAACATTGTGTGGAATCACACAGATTCGAACCCACTCTCCAGCTTCGAGATAAAAAAGTCCAACCGACACCTAAGCATACCAGTAACATCGCTTGTGTATTTAATCGTGTCCTAAAGACAAAATAAAACCAGGTTATCTTCAGGACAAGTGATATCAGCAGCAGGAAGACTTAAATTGGTCACATGACATATATTGCTTGTTGTACTTGATAGGCCTAACAATATCATGTATTAAAACATTAATAAAAAAAAGAAGGCTGAGACTGATGGAGTAGAAACATAAATAAATAATGTCGTGGTTTTAATTCTTACCATAAAAATCTGGTTTGTAAATTCCTTAAATACAACTGATTATAATTAAAAGCCACTTGTGTAAGCTGCTTCACACCATAACAGTCACTGTTCATGAAAACTGGTGATTGATGTGTATATAAATTCCTAGGTCATTCTGATGAGCCCTGGTATTATGCGAAAAGCCTCGTCAGCACTGGATACAACAGATGTAGTGCAGTTGACATATAACAATATAGCCGAAGAAGCTGTAATAGCAAAATACTGAGCTAATAAAGTTACATTCTGGAGATATAGGTTGCGATCTCATTTACGTTTATAGAAATGTCTCATAATAAACTCCAGTTTGTGTTAAACAAATTTAAGAATAACAATATATATTAATTTTTTCTTTTCACTCATGAGTTCTTAAAATTGTTTTAATATGGAAAACGTTCGACTTGAAGTCCAAATCACAAACTAATAAAGAAGTTCTATGGTTACATTAGGCCTAGAACGTCAATCCCTCTTTAAATGTGTTGTTTAGTAACACTATATAATCATTAGGCCTAGAGCGTCAATCCCTCTTTAAATGTGTTGTTTAGCAACACTACATAATGTACAGTATTAATCACTGACAAATACAATAAACATCTAAATCAGAGTAAAACAAAACTACAATTTAAATAGTACAAAATACGTTTATTGGGACCGGATAATGATCCTTTTAAAAGAATAATGGTCATATTTTATCTTTTATACAGCTAGTTTCATCCTTTTCGCAATTTCAAAACAATGTAGCTGGTTGTTTGTTTTACTAAATGCTATATAATTCAAAGTAAAACAAAAAAAGATTTTTTAAACAACGTGCCTCTAAAACAGATGAATTCAAATACCAGTTTATTTATGTGATCAATAATTTGACTTATAATCACTAATAATTGTTAATCACCATACCTGTTACATCCTCTCAAACTGAACTAACTCATCCCTTTAATTTAAGTTTGTAATAAGAGCTCCATAGCACACTAAAGTAGCTTTCACTGCTCAACAAACTGAACTAACTCATCCCTTTAATTTAAGTTTGTAATAAGAGCTCCATAGTACACTAAAGTAGCTTTCACTGCTCAACAAACTGAACTAACTCATCCCTTTAATTTAAGTTTGTAATAAGAGCTCCATAGTACATTAAAGTAGCTTTCATTGCTCAACAAACTGAATATTTTCCACTGTTTGTGCGATTTACTCCACAAAAATAATTAGTAAATTAAACAGAAAAAGTTTTACTTGTGGTTCATACACTGTAATTCATCAAAGAAGTAAATTAACTCTTTCTGATATTACATTTGTTTTACGTGTCCACCAACAAACTAACTGGTCATGTATGCTCATTCAAGCAACTAAGAATTTAGAATGACAGAACATATTTAAAAAAGTGCCCAAAAATTGTAAAAAAACAAAACAAACACAACAAAGTTTAAGTTAATAATTTATAAAAACATTTAAGCGTTGTAAAAGTACATATACGATTTATTAACAAGTTGTTCATATCCTAGAAATCTTCGATACTTTGGTTAAAAAACCATTTAACCAAAATAACTGAATACCAACGAAAAAAAGAAGTTACAGAATAATTCTATTGCTGCTTCTTCACTCTGATTAGATAACATCGGATATAAACTCAAACAATTGATATGGACTTGCGATGATGGTGATGACATCCAGCATCATCTGATCCCTCATTATCCTCGTCTGATAAAAGAATTTCAACTTCAGAATTTTCCTGGTTATCCATTGGTTGGTAGTGGACCTTCAACTTTGTGGTAGGGTTTTCTTCGGTCTTCCATCGTCCATGTTTGTGCATTAAGAAGTTATCGGTCACCCAGAACATGATGACCTACAGTTTGTACACATAAAAATAAAATGTTTTGGGGATTTCCTCAGCGTAACTGGGGAAAAAAACAACATGTAATGAGAAAATACCAATAGTTTAAAAGTTTTATAATACAATAGGATGTATCACCGATACATATTATAAATATTAAGTAAATTAACAACTGTCACTCTTTTGACACTTTTGCCCATAAGCATTGTACAGTACTTGACTTTGTTTGAACAATAAAATCATACCAGTAAAACTGATGCTTTATTTGATCGTACGTTGCTATATTGACTTCTTGCTATCGCTATACTGACTTCTTGCTATCGTACGTTACCATACTGACTTCTTGCTATCGTACGTTACCATATTGACTTCTTGCTATCGTACGTTACCATATTGACTTCTTGCTATCGTACGTTACCATATTGACTTCTTGCTATTGTACGTTACCATATTGACTTCTTGCTATCGCTATACTGACTTCTTGCTATCGTACGTTACCATATTGACTTCTTGCTATCGTACGTTACCATATTGACTTCTTGCTATCGCTATACTGACTTCTTGCTATCGTACGTTACCATATTGACTTCTTGCTATCGTACGTTACCATATTGACTTCTTGCTATCGTACGTTACCATATTGACTTCTTGCTATCGTACGTTACCATATTGACTTCTTGCTATTGTAGTACGTTGCCCTACTGACTTCTTGCTATCGTACGTTGCCATACTGACTTCTTGCTATCATACGTTACAATACTGTTTTACGTTTGTTATGTAACAGTAAACAGTCTACAGACACACTGTTACGTTTGTTGTGTGACAGTAAACAGTCTACAGACATGCTGTTACATTTGTTGTGTGACAGTAAACAGTCTACAGACACGCTGTTACGTTTGTTGTGTGACAGTAAACAGTCTACAGACACGCTGTTACGTTTGTTGCGTGACAGTAAACAGTCTACAGACATGCTGTTACGTTTGTTGCGTGACAGTAAATAGTCTACAGACACGCTGTCACGTTTGTTGCGTGACAGTAAACAGTCTACAGACACGCTGTCACGTTTGTTGCGTGACAGTAAACAGTCTACAGACACGCTGTCACGTTTGTTGCGTGACAGTAAACATTCTACAGACACGCTGTTACGTTTGTTGCGTGACAGTAAACAGTCTACAGACACGCTGTCACGTTTGTTGCGTGACAGTAAACAGTCTACAGACACGCTGTCACGTTTGTGCGTATTTCACTTATACTGAATCAATTTCACGATGCTGCTATGAAACCATTTTAAAATACGTAATAAACCAGAAAGAAAGACAATTAGCGTGTTTCACATCTTTAATTATGTAAGTACTAATAACATTTAGAGGCTGAATTTTTTTTACATTTCTGTAAGCGATACTTAAGTTGTTGTTTTTGACAATCCTGTAAATGATGATTAAGTTGTTTTTGAAACTTATCTTAACTAAAATATGTTTCAGTACAAGTAGAAAACAACAACATTGGACAAGTTTGAAACTTTGACTCTCTTACCTGTAAGATACTAGTTAACAAAATCATGTTTTTTTAACACTTACGTTAACTATAAACGGTATTATCAACACCACAATAGCAACTTCAACCTTCGGGTTTCTTATTGGTGACATAATGAATTCCCTAACCTGTAAAGTAAAATGTAACAGTGTGGATATCAAGTTATAACAAGAAAAAGTATTAAAAACAAGAACAAGGGAATATCACATTTTTTAAAAGATAATCCATATTTCTCAGTGGATGTTTATGAAACATGTGTTTTTATGTTTATCATGTGTGTTACATTTTACATAAAGTATGTATTTTATATAGGTGAAAGACACAACAACTATTTCATTATTCTCTTAACCCTATCTGTAAAGCACCTACTTGAGGCAGATATGACAGCTAAACACCTACATGAGGTAGTCACAATGATGTCTCAGACTAAACACTTACATCAAACAAGGTGTGAGGCTAAACACCTACATGAGGTAGTCACAATGATGTCTCAGACTAAACGACCTTGTTTGATGTAAGTGTTTATAAATTAGATGCTAATTCTAAGTCTGGACAATTTGCATGACTGAACATCTATGTTGTTAAGACAAGTGTTTTACTTCTACTCAAGTGTTTAAAACATGCAATTCAGGACATTTTTACAAGTAGATATATAAATGTAATATTTTTGTTTATTTACTTGTCAAGTTAGTATGGTACCGTTTTAAGACAGACATTTTTTTAAATGTTTAAAAATGACAGATGCTGTTTCATTACAGTTTCAACTTGATCAAACATATGTTTACATACTAAAATAGCTTAGGAAGTCTTCAGTCTGAGACATCATTGTGACTACCTCACGTAGGTTTTCAGCCTGAGATCTTGCTGTAAATGCTTCAGATTGGTGTTTAGCCTCAGACCTCATGTTTGTCTGATGTAGGTGTTTAGTCTGAGACATCACTGATACTACCTCATGTAGGTGTTTAGCCTCAGACCTTGTTTGATGTAAGTGTTTAGTCTGAGACATTATTGTGACTATCTCATGTAGGTGTTTAGCCTCAGACCTTGTTTGATGTAAGTGTTTAGTCTGAGACATCATTGTGACTAGCTCATGTAGGTGTTTAGCTTCAGACCTTGTTTGATGTAAGTGTTTAGTCTAAGACATCATTGTGACTACCTCATGTAGGTGTTTAGCTTCAAACAGTGTATTTTGTACTGTTGTCAGCTGATACTAATTCATATGAAAAGTGTTTTTTTTTCTTCTTTCTTACCACTAATTAAACAATCTCCCCAACTGCAGGAGTTTAATGACCTAATGATGTTTTTCATAATATTTAATAGCACTACCTAAAAGTCACAAATGTATCAACTAGTTCAGGAAAACCTCCTATAAAAAATGAGATCAAAGCTAAATTTCATTATTTCGTATAGCTAAGTTTTTTAGCTTCGACATTTGTACTTAAGTAGTCAGAGTCACATGATGAGTGTGACTTAATGACTAGAACCAGGACGGCACATAGTTGATCTATTGTTGTCATCAAGTAAGTGGAATTACTGTGATTTTAGGCCTATCGGTGAACGAGTATAACTTGAAGTTCAAGAAATAAAATGGTTTCGTCATCATTAAATGGGCTCAACTTTGCATTCTTCTCTTTACACAATAATCAAAACAACATAAACTGTAAAAATTAGTTAGATCAGAGCATGTATTAGGATCTTCGAGTGGCAGTTTCAAATAAAATATGATAAAAAAAGCTGTCACTGGTAACATTTTTTTGGTGAAAACTTGATTAACAACTGAATTACATTTATACGTGCCTCAAATGTGGGATACACAGTGAAACTACAAGATTTACTTTTTCTTAGCTAAATATTTACCATTTAATTTGGATTCTTAAAGAAATTTTGTACAGATACTATTCAAAAGCTGTAATAACATTTTAGGAATGACCTAATTCTAGATAAAGTTTACTTTAAATAGCTTGTTAACAGAGAACAGTGGCTTAAATATGCCCCCGCAATTGCAGGGGGGCCTAACAAAATTAAGAACTGTTGACAAGTGGAATAAATGTAGGGGGCCAATCTTCAGCAATTACACCACTGACAGATAGTATAATTTTTGTCAAATATATTCATGTTTCAATATCTTATGATTTTGTTTGACTATTTATTTGTTAATTGCATGCATTTACTTTCCTGTACTACAAATAAACTGAATGTGTTTTAAGAAAAGCTTTCAACCTGTAAGACTGTTTTTGAACTACTTACACAAATCAGCAATAATCGAGTAGCCACAATACGTTAACATTTACGCTGTATTAATAACACCTTTACAAATACAGTTTGTGTTACTTACGCTTTCCCAAAAGTGAAGTTGTATGAGCAAAGTGATGAGTAGTTTCTCCACTAAAACTATCACAACATACATGCCACACTGAGCAAGCCAGGCATTAATCTGTGGAGGTATACCTGATCAAAGATGAAAAGTCTTTAAGTAATACTAGAGTGTAATACTTTCATATCTCGATTAAACACTCAACAACATAAAATCATTTACTTTTCACTAGCTGTTGAATGAATTCACTGGATGATACTTGACAAATTACAATGGACAGTGAAAATAATGTAAACCACAGATGTGATTTATGTTAAAATAACTACTACTTGTTAAAAAAAGATTACACAATAACACCATTAAGTGTTTACTGTGTTATGGTATGGAAGACCCTGAATAAGTTATAAAAACCACACTGGTAAAGTTACACGTGTATTAGTTTATTTTACCTGTTGCATCACCTAAAATAGCTGGCATCACAATCATTAATACTGTCTACTACATACACTGTATCAGTTAAAATGAGATGCTAATTTAAAACTTTTCAATGTATAAAACGTCAGGATGATAAAAAACTTAAAACTTTTAATTCATTACTATTGGTTAAGGCACTAAGTACTGTCAAGTTAGGTCATATTTATTGGAAGTATATTGGTTAAGGCACTAAGTACTATCCCATTAGGTCATATTTATTGGAAGTATATTGGTTAAGGCACTAAGTACTGTCCAGTTAGGTCATATTTATTGGAAGTATATTGGTTAAGGCACTAAGTACTGTCCAGTTAGGTCATATTTATTGGAAGTATATTGGTTAAG